GTAGAAACACAAGTGTCCTAGGTCAGGCTCAAAATCCTAGGTCAAAATCAAGTGATTGACATCATGAGCAGCTGGTGCTGCTGGGATACAATGACAGAACTTACATAAACCAACCACCAAGCCTACCAACCTGATCCTGTATGTAGTTTCTTACAGCAAGCATGGGTTGCTGAAGACCAATTCCAACGCGAAGTTTCACAGGTTCTGCATCATTTGAAAATTTTGGGACCGTGTCATTAGAGATTGGTGCATAAGTAACAAAACAATGTTTGTGCATATATTTGTTGTTTTTGTTTTAAAATATTCGGAAAGTATGATGTTGAAGAATAAGTGGGCGGGTATTGTTAACCGCGACACAGTCAGTTTACTGAGGCTGACCACCTGACCCATGTGTCGCATCTTATACACGCAGAGATTGTCGGGCACCTGTTCTCTTAGACAGAAGTAACGGTCAAGGACAAGAGTTCATTCAATGCAAACATTAAGCATAGTATTGAGATATATATGTATCGATGATTTCCAATAATAGTGAGTCAGTGGGTAGTTTACGTCACAAGGGCAATATTTCAGCCATAACGTGACGGAAAATGAATACAAATACTGGACATGATATGATAAAGAAGTCTGTCGTCGATGGACAGTAAAATAACAAGACTATCACAGAATAAGTCGTAAAACTAGAATATTACCATAAAACAATAATTATACACGCAACAATACAATATTAGAATAGGCTATACAATGATTTTACAGTACTTTAATCCCCATACAGTAAGGGTACAGGATACAGTCACTAACAATCTCAGTTACAAATTTTAATCTACCAATTATAAAATTCACTGACATGTTTACAAAACATTTTCATCAAAACTTTTCTAAATCTATTTCTTTTAAAAAAACAATTATTAAACGATAATTAATATTACTTAAAGATGCTTCATTGTTTTTACACTGAAATAGTGATCCCTTGTGATGGAAAAATCAATACAGTCAAGCATGACATGCTTAACTGTGATTCTTTAAGCACAAAGGATCCAAAATTGAGGATCCTTATCTTTCAATAAATGTTTACGCGCACACCTGCTGTGGCCAATTCGACATCGTCGCATGATGACCTCTTCAAATCTTCACTGACAACCCAAATAGGTGTCACCGATAGTTGGCTTAATTTCATGTAACTTATTTATACCTACATGGGTGTCAAGCATGCTGGGACGGTGGGGTAGTCTAGTGGTTAAAGAGTTGGCTCGTCACGCCAAAGACCCGGGTTCGAATCCCCACATGGGTACAACGTATGAAGCCCATTTCTGGTGTCCCCCGCCGTGATGTTGCTGGAATAGTGCTAAACGCGGCGTAAAGCCACACTCAGTCAGTCAGTCAGTCATGCATCCGTTTAGATACAACATGACTACCCTTTTCGTGAATACCCGGTGTCATCGCTGATTTTGTAAGATCCATTCATATGATTTTCTCATATGGCTGTCAATCCAGACTGGTTATTTTCTGGCGTTAATGTTGTATTCTCAAGATGCATATATTTTCGGGAGGGCCTATTCTCAGCCATCCCAGTTATGTTTATCATTAGAATGTTACAGAGGTCACTTTCGACCAAGTCGTGGGTTCTTGTTTATTATATCAATGAAACCGTCGAAAGTAATAGGATAACAATGAGGTTTGTCGGTTTGTTGTTTATTGCCGCTCTCAGCAGTATTCCAGCTATATGGCGGCGGTATGTTAATAATCGAGTGTGGACCAGACAATCCAGTGGTCAACTGCATGATCATCGTACTTCGCAATTAGGATACGATGACATGTGTCAACCAAATCAGCGAGCCTCACCACCTGATTCCTAGTCTGTCTCACAGTCCGTGAACCACATTAATTTCCCTACTGCCAGGCTCTCTGTGCAGTGCTAAAGCCCTAAATAAAGCAAGTCTAGAATTCCTCAGGTTCTGAATCTCTGGTCTCCCTAGGGCTCCTTTTCAATATAAATGGGCTTGTTTGTTACTATCAAAATTATATATATTCAGAGACTAAGCCTTAGTCTACCTGATTCCGTTAGTCGCCTCTTGCAACAAGCATGTGTTACTGAAGGCCAATGCTAACCCGGATCTTCACGGGTCTACATCATGAGTGATGCGTGCTGTAGATAAAGTCATCTGAGAGAAGATATTTTGTTCCGATAAACGTGAAACGTTTGAAAGCTTCGTTTTGTACCATTGTTGTTTTTGAGCAAGCCGTGACATCGCGTAAAAGCTTTTTAATGGTTAAACAAAGGTGTTATGAAGAGCTCTTGACATTTAAAAAACCATTCTGTATTTTTCAGGATCAAAAACCATATCAGTGATCCTGCTCATAAAAATATCCTAATTGTGCACAATGTCTGAGGATGCACAGTCAATATATAAATGACCATAAATTGACATGTGACAAAAATTAAAAGAACAACGATGAATTATTTCTAAACTGATATGTTTTTATTGAACATTATTTATGGCACAGTAAATGTCTTCCGTTAGATATAACATGCACACTTGTTCATGAATCCTATTTAATAATGCCATCAGTTTCATGAAAATGTGAGCGTATCCTTTCCCCAACGGTGAAACCCACAATCGTTGACTTAAATATGGGGGTCGTCAAATGAAGGAATAGCATCAGATACTAATGTCATACATTAACATGAATGTCTTGCTGAGGCCAAGATCAAAGTCTGATCAAACAGCTTTTGAGCAACAGGTCTCCAGACCATGAATGAATGGCTCTCGTGTCAACGTGACGTACTGTTTACGTTGACATACAGTGAGTGAGTGAGTTTCAGTTTTTCTCCTCTATCAGCAATATCCAGCTATATAGCGTGGGACTGTAAATAATCGAGTCTGATCCAGACAATACAGTGATCAACATCATAAACATGGGATACGATGACATATGTCAACCAAGTCAGAGAGCCTGACCACCCGATCCCTGTAGTCAGATCTTACGACAAGCATGGTTTACGGAAGATCAATTCTAACCTGGATCTCCACGGGTTGATACCTGGATATGAGGCTATGTGAGGTACTTTTACCTTCGTTTGTTATGTATCATTGCAGAAGTATATGTCAGAGGTTCAGTATTGATAGATCTTTCTTCAACTCAGCCGTAACATAACTTACAATGCAGTGTGTAGCGTAGTGATATCATACATCATGGAATGTAGCGTAGTGATATCATACATCATGTGATCTAATGCGCATGTGCGTGGCGAACCGGATGCTCTGGCACTCGGGAAGTAAGAGGCATATCGTCAACACTTACTTGCGTCGTCTCTCCTCCTAGGAACAGCAAGTCATGCAGTGAAGGACCCAGAACACTACACAGTGTTAAAACAGCTATGTAATACCAGTTACAGTGGCTAACATGTAGGCGATCGTCGTGGAGATTCACTGAACCGTATCCGGATTGATTCAACATAATTCAACAGTGCGGGACTATATTTTCAATCATTTCATTTCATGTCGATGTCGATTTTTCAGCTCGATGTGTGAGGAATGGATGAAGTAATGAAGACGTTCAAAATTTTGACTGAACCTACGAGCACAAGTATGATGTTGACAAAACTGGATAATATATTTGGGATTCGAACTAACTTCTCTGGAATGTTCAAGGGACTCAACTCTGAAGACTGAATTTCAGCGTCTTACGCGGCTTGGCCCCAGTGTCCCCACATGCTCTCCAGTTGACTTAATCTGTGACAAAAAGTATGTCTGGTGCTATTCCCTATTCTGACTTCTACCACCTGTTACCGTGCTTTTCCCAGGTGAAAACTTGACCAGCCTTTGCATTTGTTTATGACCGATTCCAACAGTTTGACAGGATACGCTCAGCTTTTCACGAACTTCTCGAACCATTTACTGTTTCATGATATAGTCGGAATCGTACCATCAGGTAGGGATTTCTTATGGATGTGGAAAGGGATCTTGCTTTTATTTACATGTAAACCACATGCAAAATCATTCAAATTTACTTTGAAAAAAAAAAGAAACGGAGATAGGTAGATACTATGAACAACCATATTGATAAGAGACTACACATGCATGAAACTCATTTTATAACATATTATAACTTGAGTAGTTTCGTTACCATGAAGATGATTCACAAAAAATGGCAGCGTGTTGTTGGCTGGCTAAATAATAATTATGTATTGGTTGACATCTTAATTCCATAAACCTCTGATGTACTCAAAGGGCAACAGTATTCCGTCCTTTTCGTAAGTCTACGGATTCATCAGTTGACACATTAAGCGATACTTTATGGCAACCAGCCGAGTTCATAGCATATTGTACAAAATTTTGAATCTACAAGGGAAAACGGCAATCCATATGCCAATACCTTTCAAGCTGGAACAGTGTTGCCCTTTCATGGGTTCATACATTGCGAGCTGAGAAAATCAATTATCAATATAATGCCGTGTTCAACATACCCCTCTCCACATATCTTTGTTGCCAAGGAATATTACAATATCTACAAGACCAGTTTCCTTCCCAAAACAGTGACAACATCAACGAAATTATGATTATGCATACTGAAATCGTAAAAGTGAAATATTGACCAGAGAAACAACTTGACAAGCGGAGTATTCTTTCTGACCAAATGATTTAAATATCCTCAAAGGACGTGATAGTCTCACATTTCGTGACAGAGATTTACACTGCTCACTTAATCGTCTGACATGAGACATGAGAGGTAGGTGTGTGTTCACGAACAGTTCAATACGTACATCTGTGTTGATAGTCCCTATCATGGGATGTCGTATTTCTCCCTTTCCAACACATCCCTGTCCCATGTTCATGTTATACCTCACTCCACTCGCCCATGTATTGTCCAGTAAATGTGGACATTTTTAATTGGCGGTGGGGCAGCCCTGTTGTTAAAGAGTTCGCTTGTCACGCCGAAGACCCGCGTTCGATTCCACACATGGGTACAATGTGTGAAGCCCATTTCTGGTGTCTCCGGTCGTGATATTGCTGGAATACTGCGGCGTAAAACTGAAGTCACCCGCTGACATTTTCGTGAAATCATCTTAAAAACTTAAACACCCTGATCTCGCGTGTCATGACGTGGCAAACGTACAGCAGATGGTCAGATATACACAACCCGTAAGGATACCACACACCGTCCCGAGAGGTCAGTGTGTTCCGGACAAACTGTCCTGACTTAGTCAGATGGATGACCCTGTCTAGAGAGTCGTACGACACCAGGATGTCACCAGTTCCGGCACTCGTGATGCCACGTGGCACTCTGGGTGCTGTGTCATCAGTAGGGCAGTAGGTGAACACCACCTCTCCCTTAGGTGTCACACAGAGGACACAAGCAGTTCCACTGTCAGACACCAGGATGTTTCCTGTCCCATTGGTACAGAGGAAGTTGGGGTATCTTAAGATGCTGTTGCCATAGTGTAATGGACAGATTGACCTCATCACGTGTCCCGACATATCCAGGACATCAACACAAGGAGGTGACTGGGAACTTGCTGCTAGTGTTGATGGTGTCAGAGACGTTATACCCCAGTACTGTTTGCTGGTTGTGATGGTCGACAGCAGCTCAAGATCTGGGTTGACTTCAACTGTTACAATCAGCCAGGCTTCCGGCACAGTGACAGCCACCTGGTTGTGTTTCAGCCTTGTAATGCCCCATGGTTTTCTTCCCAGACTGAGCTTGCTGTGACCCTGTTTTTTGTTCCTGGTGTAGAAGGACTTCACGCTCATGTTGTTGTTGTCTGTAACTACCATGGTGTCCGTTCCTTTCACCATCAGAACCGTCACGTCAGCGGGGTAAGCATTATCATTATCACTAGGTACTCGAACTTTAACTGTGTCCTGTAACACTGGTGTAAATTTCAGATCCAGTACACTCTCATACAGCACGTCTATGTCACCCAGCTGTAGATCGTCCAGTGCTCTACTCAGTTTGTTCATGTCTTGTCTGAGAATGATCTTGGCTATTCGTCCGCGTATCTTCAAACCCGCATCTTTAACAGCATCCACATCACCGGCCTCACATCCTTGATACATCTCATACACGTCCATATCACACTTAGATTGTAGAGTCTGGTCTATCAGCTCAGCCTGTTGCTGGTACATCTGTACTGACATTTCGTCGGACTTAATGTCTGCTTTCAGCTGGCTGATATGTCTGTCTGACATCGCCTTCAGTTTGTTGAGAAGTGTCTCCTCCTTCTGCTTGATCTCTTCTATAGCTCTGTCACTTGCAGACTTGATGCCACACTCCATTTGTACGTAATAGGCTAATTCTTCATTCATCTTTGATTTCTTTTTCTCAATCTCTGCTTGCATGTCTGCCTTTCTCCTGTGCAAATTCCCCTTTGTGTTTGTGAGTTCCTCTTTCATTAACAGCATCTCTGCATCTGACTCAAGGACGACAACCGAGTCACATTTGTCGTGGTACAGAGTGCAGCATAGTTGACAAACTGCTTTCTTGCAGTCTCTACACAGAAATTTGATAGTTTCGTCTTTGTGTACTTTACACATGACCTTGCGGCTGCTGGTGTCTCTGACCTTTCCCGTAAAGGCAGTGACGTCATGGTGACAGGTAGCTGGAGTGCTGTTGTGCTTTCTCGTACACTCGTCACACAGAACATCGTCACAGACAGAACACCACGCTGTGGCTGGGATTGTCTCCCCTTCCTCTCGACAACACTTGCAGTTTGTTGTATCTGCAAAAACAGTTGTACTTTTCAAAACACTCTATATCGTTAAAACATATGCTTGTAAACAACAAATAACTAAGCACCTGAAATAAGAGGTGAAACAATATACATGTATGTACAAATCACTTACAATCAGTGATGACACCCGGTGTAACAAGCATCTTATAAAGGACTGGTTGCGCACTGGTTGCATTCATTTAAGTTCGATTCACTGGAAGAATGAATTAATGTTGCTTTATGCCGCATCAGCAACTATAAATTTCTGCACGTGCACATAAAACGAACAGTACTAAAATGGATGATCTTAAAGACAATTTAAAATATCAGTCAAATATCACAGATAAAGTAAAAACTGACAATTTTACAAAAAGCTATATCTTTACATAAAGGCCAATCTATTTTTAAAAAATGATAAAATCATATGGCTAGAAACTTGTGTAAAAAGTTGTTTTAAATTAGAAACATACTGACTAGTACAAAGAATGTCAACAACACCTAATCATAAGTGGACTGTGGACTTAAGCCGTTCCTGCTTCCTAACCGTTAAACAAACAACAATAAGAATCTGTGATACTCACCTTTAGATCCAGGGCCAAACGAGTCCAAGAGTCCCTGGATGACAAAGCTAGGCTTGACGTCATCCGCCCACTCCTCAACTGGTTTCTCAGGGGCAGACACTTTCGTCATCATTTTGCAGAATGGGCACATGAGAGACTTGGCACTGAGGGCTTCTGGTCTGGTTTTGGTGTAGTTGATGGCACATTTCCGACAGAATGTGTGATAACAGACAAGGGTGCACGGATTCTCAAACACCTCTGTACATATCGTGCATGTCAGAAAATGTTCTGTTAACTTCTGGGAGGTCGCCATCTTGCCTACAAAAAGAAAAGTATGTTGCTGCATTTATTCTGCTCGTCTGAGTCCTAAATTGTCGGTAGCATAGCATAGCATAGTATAATGACAGTGAAGAAGCTTTCAGAGAAATTCTAGCAATATCAAGGTGGGTATACCAGTCATGGGCGTCACAAATTGTGCCCATGACAGAAATCGAACCTGGTCTTCGGAGTGCGAACACTTTAACCGTTTGCCTACCCTACTGCTCCCTCAGATCAGACGAGTGACTGAAAATAACACGTTCATTGTCATTCAATGTACATCGTCACAGGACAGTAAACAGTACGGTAAGCATCACAGTTTAGGTATAAAACAACCATATTAGTATTAAAACAAAACATTTCTGTAATATTTTGTATAAACTAAACTCAGACACCACAAGAAACCAAATTCCTGAAGATCATGGGGACTCACCTCTGACGAGAAGAAGGGGGCTGAGCCAGTTATTAATTTCATGAATTTACACAAGACAAAGTAACAAATAACAAATTTCATTTCAGCCTTCACAAAAATGGAGGAGTAAGAGCCATAATAGTTTCAGCTCATAAAATGGTTGAAGTGTAAAGATGAAATCAAGGTCAACATTAGTGAAAGTACAGCGGAATGGGGAAAATGGAAACCTGCGTTTGAGCCCCACTCTAAACAAAACATATGCCAAGTTATAGATCTAAATAGCTTTTTCAATATGGCTGCCTTGAAGACAAATTTGAAAATAGAATGCGATTATACTCATGAAATATGTTACCCTCTTCCGCCCTCGACGGGACCGATGATATGGACTAGTTGGTGAGCGTTCGCTCGTCACGCCGAATACCCGGGTTCGAATCCTAACATGGGTACAATGTGTGAAGCCCATTTCTGGTGTCCCCCGCCGTGACATTGCCTGAATATTGCTAGAAGCCGCGCAAAAAAACATACTCACTTTCAATATTTTATACAATTACTACCCGCCCCGAAGATGGGAACGCAAACGCAAACGCAAATGACAGCGGAACAAAGAAAACACACAATAAACAACATGTCGCCCAAGATAGAACCAGCGTGATGATCAATATAGACCTAGTTCAAATGTACTGGAATGATACATATTACAATGTGCGGTAGTTACACCGCGTAGGTAAGGGAAAGAGACGAACTTTTTTTTCTAACAGTTTCAGGTAAAGATTAAGCACCCGTCATCAACAGAGCAGGAACTAGACAACTGGCAGAAAATACTTAAGAAACACACAAACAGGCCACAGAGCTGCCAATTATCTGACACCGACGTTGTCTAGAGTTTGCCATTGTGTTGCGCAGGGACCCTAAACCGAGGCCCGTCTCTGTGTGGCAACTCTGTTAAGGTGACCCTGACCTCGAGATGCAAAAATGGCCTTGACCTTCTACCGGAGACTATAAATAAATAGATCTATCGTCATACTCGGTAGTGACTGCGTCCGTATATTGTCATTAGACAAATGGGCGATGTATTTCACTTAGGGTTTGACTATCTCAGTGCCAATAACAACCATGTGTTGCCCTTTGTACCAGTATGTCGGACAGAATGAGAGAACATACATGACAACGAGATTCGCTGCGCACAGTGTACAAACACAGGTCTACGCCTTACGGGGTTCAAGATGAGGTGAAAATACCTGCGTGTGTGTTACAAGTACTATGACACACATTGTGACATCACTCACACAGTAGGACGGGAGTGTAGTTTTGTGAAAGAATGTGACGATCGTCTGAGCGCTACCAAACAAACACTTACCCGAGACTGTCGAATATCGGCTATCAAGGGAGGCAACTCAGAGCAACTGCCTGTCGCGAATGTAATACCAGAAATGAGCTTCACACATTGTACCCATGTGGGGAATCGAACCCGGTTCTTCGTCGTGACGAGCTTTTTTCCACTAGGCTACCCCATCGCCAATTTTTGATACACGTTCACGAAGAAAGATGAAGCTGGCCTCTTATTTCTGATTGTAAAAAACTAAGTGTAATTGTTGGATGATATAAGGAGATAAATTTCCACACCGGCGCAAAACATTGGGGTGAGAAAATGTCACGTCGGACTGAAAATTCAGGTCGTTCGAGGGATTGGAAATGCCGAAAATTGTATTGACAGAATAAGGAAAAGTCTGTCTCACAGTCCCTGAACCACATTATTTTCCCTTCTGCCTAACACTCCCTGTAATGCTAATATCTCAAATGAAGCAAGTCTAGAGTTGGAGGTAGTTGCAGTATATGTGTCTAAGTACTGTGACTGCGACTCTCCATCCACCCCCTTACACACCACAGTATTTGTAACTTGTACATGTTTTTGTTGACAATAAAGTGGGGTCCATTGGTAACAACGGGTTACTGATTTAGTGAAAAATATGTAACTTTAATTTCATTTCAGTCAATGTTCACAAGTGATTTGTCAGGAAATATTATCATGCTTGTATTAGTATGTTTCTACATACTGTTCATAGAAATCACCTGTTTGTAGGGTGGTCAGGCTCGCGTACGTGGTTGACACATGTCATCGGTTCCCACTTGCGCAGATCGATGCTCATGCTGTTCATCACTGGATTGTCTGATCCAGACTCGATTATTTACAACCGCCATATAGCTGGAATATTGCTGGTTGCGGCGTAAAACTAAACTCACTCACCCACTTCCTGTTTAAAACTGTGTGGAGATATGTTACCACTACATATACATAACATATCAAAAAGAAAGCGTGAAAATTGAAACTCAGTTTTAAACAGCGCCCATAACTTGTTTGAAAAATCGCACTTTACAGACTTTTGATGTACACATTAAAATTCTCAGATTTATTAAACAAAAATATCATCTCATTATGCGGGCTTAGTCCACAACAGAATAACAGCGCAACGGCCGCAGGCGCATAGAACAGAATAATACTTTATTACCACAAAGAGAAATTTGTGTTCAACGAAATAATCATTGTAAATACACATTGACACAAATTGCACAACGCCATTGACGTAAATATAAGATGTTTCTATCAAGCATATAGGACAATCAGTACCTTATAAAGATACTAAAAAGAAAAATCATAAAAATGGTAGACTTCTCATTTAAGAATGTAATACTACAGAGGAAAAAAGACGTCAGGGAATTTTTAGTCTTACTAAAAATGTTGCTACTACCGTATGCCGGAAGGGAGAAATTTGTACTCCCTGTTGATGTGAGGTGAGGTGAGGTGAAATTGGGTTTATAGCCGTGCTTGAGAATATTTCGCTCATATGACGACGTGCATGCGTATGTATGTGTATGAGCGGCTGCTTGTACTATGCCGGACTGAAGCTGGTTTTATAGTGCTAGCCCACTGAGATACCATGCCGCAGTGAAGCATGAATACCCAATTCAGACACATTATACTGACCCCGAGCCGACCAGTCCTTGTTGTACCCATTAATGCCGAGCGCCAGGCAGGGATCAACAAGTACCATATTTTAACGTATTTTGGCATGACGCGGTCGGGGATCGAACCCACGACCTTCTGCTCTCCGGGCGGACGCTCTAACCACTACACCACGGAGGCGGTCTCCTGTTGATGTACTGGGAGCTGTCAGAGGCAATTCTCTGTGTTTTTTTTTGTTACTCTTTCCTCAGATAGTGCACTTAGGGACCGTTCACAATATGTGGCTGGTGGTGGTGGTGGTGTGTGTGTGTGTGTGTGTGTGCGAGCGTGCGTGCGGGCGTGCGTGTGCGCGGGCGTGCGGGGGGTGACGGTTGGTTTGTAAGGTTGGGTCATCTATTTTGTTCTGGGGAGGGGGGGTCAGCAATTCTGTACACATCACCTCGGGGGGTCAGCAATTTTGTACATGTAAACATTAAAAATTATGCTTAAAAATTATAGGAAGGGTGGGGTTCATTAATTTTGAACATGACATAAAGTTAACTTACTTTGTATATAAATGTTAGGGGGGTTCATTCACATTTGTACATATTTCTCCATAAAAAATCATCACCACGCTTTCTTTTATTCTCTTATTCAGTTATTTGTACGATTATTTACAGACAGCCGCTTTATAGGTGGAATATGAGTGCGGCGTTAGGCGTCAAACCAACCATCCAGCCAACGAAAGCATCAGATATTCTACGCACGTTTCAGACGGTTAGTGAGTCTGGGCGATGTATTATCCTTCAAGGGTAGGAAAATGTATTGACGAAGCAATCACCTTGCGTAAGGGTACATTACCTCTTTAGATGCCAAATATATCTAAGCTCCCCTTATCGGTAATACTATAAAATAATACCATATTTATAATAGGATCAACTATCAAAAGAACTAACGAGAAAACGGGAAAACGAACAAAGAGTGAATGTAGTTAGGGTAGATGATATAAGATAAAGAGACAGTGGGTATTTAAAGTTCAAAACTTACAGGAATGTACATTCCTCAACAATATGCTCAACACTTAAAATAATTGGAAGCTCTATGTTACACCATCAGCTAAAAATAGCTTAGCCTGGGGCGGCCTCGATTTAATGATTGCAGGTGATGATAGGAGTCTGACGTTAAATTATTCAAGCAGACAAATATATTTAATACATAATATATAGTGTGTAATTATTGTAGTAATAGTGAAGAAATATCACAGCCGGGAACACCAGACATGGGAATCACACATTGTACCCTTGTAGGATCCCAGGTCCTCAATGGAACGCCATAACCACTAGATTCTGAACGTATAACATATAGACACCATCAAGTTTCCATATTCCCGGGGAGACAACACAGACCAGAGATGATTGAAGGTTTAAATTATTTCATAGGTAAAAAAGAAGATGGGACCACTCCCCGCCTTATACTCGAGTAAAAGAAAATTCCTCCGCTATAACGTTACAACCTGATAACGCCACAAAGAGACTGACGACGTCACAGTATTGTGACGTCACAGAAAGGTATCCCGGCCGTATTGCCGGAGGTGTGAGAACGTCAGGGACAAACAGCTGCTGGACCTGCCAGTGAAGGCAACAACATGGCGAACGTCTTCACCAAGAAATACCACCGTCCCCGGACAACTACCCTGAGGGACTTTGGGGGTCAGGATCTCTCACGGGGCGTCGCCCTACCTGAGATCCGCTCCCCATGCCGCATATCCAGCCCGCGCTCAGTATCGGTATTTGACCTTTACAATATTTATTTATTGTTTAACGTCTTCGTGTTCTTCCAACTCCTCCATGACCATCAGCGACTTACTTTAAAACTGATCTAAATCATTTATTTTGTCAACAGTCAATTTTTCTATATATTTTTTATATATTTGCATTCATGGAGAGTCGTGATGCAAAGGCTTGGACATGTTCTTTACTCATACCACATTACCTGATATGTTTTTATGTATCTAAAAAACGTATAACTTATAACTGAGTTTACTTTTACGCCGCTTTTAGCAATATTCCAGCAATATCACGGCTGGGGACACCAGAAATGGGCTTAACACATTGTGTCCATGTGGGGAATCGAACCCGGATCTTCGGCGTGACGAGCCAACGCTTTAACCACTAGGCTACCCCACCGCCCCTATGAGTTATAAATGTATAGTGATGAGTCATGTATACTGTACATATACATGTACTTGTGTCGGTTATTTTAACTGTGAGTTGTGCACAGTGTAGGGATGTGAAGGTATCCTTGCTGAAAATAATTATCGTCATGGATGTTACTTTCTAATAAATAAAACTACATGTATGTGCGTTTGGAAGTGTGATGAATGCCTATGTGTTTTCTGCTTCAGGTGTACACCATTTGGAACCCAAACTTTTACCGCCATTCACAAGCAAAACCTGACATGTTTAATATTCTCAGTAAGTAGGATACTGTCACTTGTCTCACTCCATTACAGACTGACTGACTGAGTTTGGTTTTACGCCTCTTTTAGCAATATTCCAGCAATATCATGGCGGGGGACACCAGAAATGGGCTTCACACATTGTACCCATGTGTGGATTCGAACCCGGGTCTTCGGCGTGACGAGCCAACGCTTTAACCACTAGGCTACCCCACCGCCCTCGCTCCATTACAAATATCCTGGGGACGATAGGGGGGTGGGACGATATAATGCCATTGCTGTTGTTAGTAGTAGTTCTAACAGCAGCAGGAGTAGTGAGTGAAATATAAACTTTATATCATCGCCCGTATTGCCATTTTATAGTCGAATCCGGGGCACATGTAATGATAACACCGTATGGTTGTTAATAATAGATAGTTATATTATTGTTATGGTTGTTTTTCCGTCATTAATGATAACAGTAACATGTTTTGGCTGTTGTTGCTGCTGCGGTGGTAGTGGTGGTTGCCGTATCAAGACGACGCTAGACCCTATTTCCATTTCGGTCACAACAATATTTAATAATTAAATTCCCTTTGTTTTGAATGTGATGTATTATTATGTCAGACATTGGTATAAAGACATACATCGTCACAAAAAAATGTTGCTTCAAAAAACAAACCTCCATTGTATTGTTAATTTGACTTTGGAGCAAATGAGTGTCACCTTCATGACAGGTCTTCCATATTTTAGCTTTGAAATCTTGATGCTTGTTAAATCACGCTTTTTGTCACACACTGTTCAATATTCAACCTCCTATTTGAAAATTCCTTTCAATTTTGTTGCAGGGTGGGAGAATTTCAGCTGTGGTCCTGTTGTGATTTCGCCCAAAGAAAGAGGTAAGTAATCATTATGCGGTGATCAAACTAAAAGCAAACTTCAGAAAATAACTGTGAACACCACCCTATTTAGAAATAGACGCTCCCTCCTCAACGGAAGAAGCCATTGCCGTTAAATAGGGGACGTGGAGTGTGACGCGGTGCACGTGCAGTTTGTGTTCTCTCTCGTTACTGAAATGATTGAGTACTGACTGACTGAGTTTGGTTTTACGCCGCTTTTAGCAATATTCCAGCAACATCACGGCGGGGGACACCAGAAATGGGCTTCACACATTGTACCCATGTGGGGATGATTCGAACCCGGGTCTTCGGCGTGACGAGCCAACGCTTTAACCTCTAGGCTACCCCACCGCCCCGAAATGATTGAGTAAGTGAGCACTACTTAAACGCCGCTCTCACTGTAATAAAGTTATACATCCATATATGGTTATCCGTCTTTACTGCTCCCTGGGTGGTGGGGTAGCCTAGTGGTTAAAGCGTTCGCTCGTGACGCCGAACATCTGGGTTCCATTCCCCACATGGGCACAATTGGTGAAGCCCATTTCTGGTGTCCCCCGCCGTTAAACAAGTAAACAAAAAGCAATAACAAAATCAATATTTGAAACATTGTTAAAAAATGTTACGTTTTCCGATGTTTCAATGGAAAATAGAACTTTGTATTATTTCGTACATTGATATTGGAAACACCCCGTGTCACATAGCCCGAGAACATTCATGTGTTTGCTGCAGGGAAGCCCCCGAATATCATCTACACCGAGACGACAATATCCCGCGTCAGCTACAAGGACCCTAAGCGTTACACCAACCTCCAGGCCAACATGAAGACCACCAGATATGGCTACTCGCCTCAGTCTAAGCCAATCCGAGGAATTGGTGAGTATTTGTTTTCACACATGTACATATAAATACATCTTTAGTCCTTGTCTTCATACTTCGGTCCATCTGTAATCATTGTCACCATACTGCAATATATATGTAGGTAGCAATGTTAAGCTGTCTGGTTGACGCCATAGATCAGTGTCCCTTTAAGGCATTGCTATTTTCTGAAGACGTACGTCCCAGTGGCGGATCCAGAGGGAGGGGGGGGGGTCGGGGGTTCGAAACCCCCCTTCTGAAAATGACTTAAGACCACATTGAAAAAAAAAATTGCGTTGGCGGAGCCAAGTGGGTTTCAGTCCATGGACACACACACACACACACACACACACACACACACCCCTTTCAAAATTCCTGGATCCGCCCATGCGTCCCTTAGGCGTGAAATGATTGTGATCGTGGGTTCGTATGAACATCTTTGAGCGGCATTTTTAGAAGTTGGAGAGTCAGATAAGGACAAACATTCATGGATGATCAATTTCTTTATACAGGCGATGTGACGTTTCGATACAGATGCTTGTATACCTGCTTGACAACGATACAAGAATCTGTATCGAAACGTAATGACGTTGTTCATCCATAAAGTCTGTCCTTACCTTCGTATGAACAGTTGGGCACTTAAATTGATGTGTGGTTTGTCACTAATGGATCCACATGAAGGTAGTCTGACATTCCGTGGTAAACGACATATTATTCAAAGCGGCAAAACCCAATTAATTGATTCTCATATTTCGGAACCTATTCATGAGTGAGTGTGTTCAGGTTTACGCCGCACTCAGCAATATTCCAGCTATATGGCGGCGGTCTGTAAATAATCGAGTCTGGACCAGACAACCCAGTGATCAACAGCATGAGCATCGATCTACGCAATTGGGATACGATGACATGTGTCAACGAGCCTGACCACCGGATCCCGTTAGTCGCCTCTTACGACAAGCATGGGTTGCTCGGAACCTGTGACACCAACACACACTGTGTTTCTTTGTTTCAGTCCCCAGTGTGAAGCCCCGGGAGTACAAGCCAGCGACTGGGATCGAGTAGAGAAGAGGCATCCTAGTTTTAATTCTATACCTAAAAATAATATATTTAATTCAAGCAAAATATCTGTCTCTATGTACAGTCCACAGATAATCTTCTTGGGTTGTTTACTCATGAACCATTAAAGTATAATACAGAGTTTACTCATACTTTGCTAATGTAGAAGGATTTTTGTTCAAGATACATTTGATAAACTTGATGATTTTGTCCTCTGCCAATTATGTCCAGTGTTCTTAGTGGATTGAATTATACATTTTAAGTTCAGTTTTAAAAGTATTTCACTTTAACCAGTTAACGACTAAATCAATGGTATGTGTAATGTATTTAGTGGAAGAAGAGGAAATAAACTCTGTCAAAAAAGAAACGCAACCCCTGTATTTTAGAGATTTTGATCTGAAGTTTTAGGACGACACGGCATTTTTATTATTTAAGACAGAAGTCTGAAATTTGGCAGAATAATAACCCAGATGGGCATGTTTAAAATTGTCATTTCAAAAGTCATCTCACAGACACCAGTTTGTCACCAGGGGGGCGTCTTTCTCAGTATCTCGTATGAGCACCACGCGCTGCAATCACTGCACGGCATCTCCTTGGACAAGAACGGATAAGACGCCGGATTCTTTCCTGGGGAATGGCTCTCCACTCCTCCTGCAGTGCAACGGCGAGCTGTTGCAGCGTCTGTGGCGGCGGCTGACGTTGACGTACGCGTCGATCCAGAGTATCCCACAGGTGTTCAATAGGGTTGAGGTCTGGTGATTTAGAGGGTCATGGCAAGACATTGACGTTGGAATTCTGCAGAAAGTTCATTGTTGCACGTGCAGTATGAGGCCGGGCGTTGTCCCGTTGAAAAATCTGTGTCTGTTGGTCAATAATCGGGAGAAGGTGAAGCTCTAACACGTGGTTGATGTAACGTTGGGCTGTCAGGTTCCCTGGAACGATCACCAAGTCTGATTTCTGGTTGTATGAGATGGTCCCCAAACCATGACGCTTTCTCCGCCAAATCTGTCCACCTGTCGGACGCAGATGGGCGCAAAACGTTTATGACGTCTCCTATACAGACGCTGTCTTCCGTCGTGACGTTGCAAAAGAAAACGTGATTCATCAGAAAACCAGATTCGCCTCCAGTTTTGTAAAGTCCGTATCCTTACGTTGTTGCACCACCTGAGTCGTCGGCGTCGATGTAGGGGCGTAGTACAGGTCCAACAACTGGTCTACAGGCACGTAAACCCGCTTCTTTCAGACGGTTCCTAATCGTTTGAGCTGACACTCTCCTCAAACCTGGTATTTGTGTGGCAGTCACGGTTGGTAGGGCATGCCGATTACGCAGGTGATGGACCCGGATGTACCGATCTTGAAGGGGGGTCGTGCTTCTTGGCCTTCCACTTCTCGGGCGATCGTTGGTCAAATTGAAGTTGTTGTAGCGGCTCCAAAGTCGGGATATCGTTGTTTTGTGAACATTTAGGTGCCGTGCAACAGTTCCAAAACTTTCTCCGGCTTGAACACGCCCAATGGCGATATTTCGGTCGGCAGCACTCAATCGTGGCATTTTTAACACAGCTTTTCGGCGACAAATGAATGAATATAATACGGAAGCACATGGGCTTTTATACACCCCTACATTAACTGCCATTTTCATGATTTGCATGTGGTTTTTTTGTGCGAAGTCACCATGAGGGTCATTTCATGCGTTGTGACGGAATAAGCAATAAAATACACTTATGCGTACAAATGCAGTTGTTTGGATGGTAATCTTCATTAATTACGTGTATCATTTCAATACATTCGAATAAAATTTAGTTTGGAAGCAATAACTTCATTCAAACGAATTTTTCATATCTGAGGACAGGGGTTGCGTTTCTTTTTTGACAGAGTTTAGTTTAGGATTGAAGTGTAATATTTTGACTTAGGTTTTTTTTGTATTAACTAAGAGTTGTTGGTCCAGAGGAAATAATTCAAGGTTGGAAAGTAATCTTTTGACTTCAATAGGCCACCCTCCGTCTAGAAGTTGACTCGTGCTGTTACTTTTCAAACCACCGGTATACCGCTGATGATGCTGCTACTATTGCTACTAATACCACGTATAACTCTTCTATTACCCACATCTTTCTCGTTGCAATAATTATAATTATCGTCTCTTTCGAGTTCTGTTTTAGTTACAGTTAGATCATGTCATGGTTGCTAAACTATTTTATTAGATTTACCTTTGAATGCAGCTGCAATTGATTGTAATTTGTTCCTTTTTTGTCGTGTGTTCAACAATGGCTGCAATGAGATCTTTTGTGATTATCAATATTATTATCAATATTACGATTTTAATCATGCACTATCCGACTATTATCATGGGGTGATTTAATTTTTACTTTCATATTTTCACTGTAATGTTTTTATTATGAACAATACATTTAATTTACATATTTCATCTACCGTGCAATAATTCATTTAGTTATCTATAATGTAATCGTCCAGTAATTGTCGTTAGACATTTCTCGATCCCAGCTTGTACAAATAGAATGGAATGTAAATACATAATAAAATGTTTGAAAATAGTAATATTCTCACGTATTTTATCATGGCGGTTGGCCTTGGAATTATTGTCCAAGCTGTGAATCTTCAACGTGGGTGCTGATGGCGTATTGTCAATATAACAGAGAGTGAGTGAGTGACTAGTTTTTACGGTGTTCTCAGCAATATTCCAGCTATATGGCGGCGGTCTGTAAATAATCGCGTCTGGACCAGACAATCCAGTGATCTACAACACGTTCTACGCAATTGGGATACGATGATATGTGTCAATATTACAAGTATTTATTTATTATGAACACAGGGTAAAATATAAGAGTGACAATACACACTCTACATTAGCGGAATGTTTGATCCAACTTCACATTTACCATCTCCATCAACCATCATCATCATCATCATCATCATCATCAAGGCAAACATCCAGATGTATTTTCGGCCCAGAAACGAGACCCATCTTGTCACTGTGACAGACAAGGTGTAGTACAGGATAAACACGTGTATGTCGCAATTCATGGACACATCTATGCGTATCATTTCTCAAATTAGCGTAATGATCAGTCGTTTCACAAAAGAATTATCATCATCATCATGTTTTTTTATCGATCGAAGTCATCTGATCATACGTTGATGTTGTAACACATTTTTCACTTTTGCCTACAACCAGTATCTTGTATGGTGATCTACCTTCAGTTGCTGGCGATCTACAGCACGTTTCTATATATTGTTCGTTCTGATAGAAATAAATTTTAGATATTGATGTGAGTTTTAAATTCTGTTTCTGTGATATGCTAGTTGGTTTCACTATCCTTCATTGACAGGCGTTTATAAATGATGCCAATAATGGTTGTCACCCCCTTCAATTTTTTTAATTGGAGAGGGGGTGTGGGGTGGGAGTGTGAGGTGTGTGGGGGGTTGGGTTGGTGAGGGTTGTGACAACCATTATGGGCATGAGTATATTTATAATGAAATTAGAACTTGCTTTCGCCACGATATGGCTAAATTACTGCCGATGTGATTTTAAATTTAAACTAACTCACTCACTCACTCACTCACTCACTCACTGGAAAAGCCAAATCAGCAACAATTATCGTTAGCTATTGCACTTTTCATTTTGGAACACTCTAGTTCTATTTGCTATGACGTCACGCCATGGAATCAGTCATCCATGTTAACTGGTAGGGCTGCGCAATATAACCGGTTTACCAGTATTTACCGATTCAGACATGAAAACGATACGTATTGCAATACGCTGAACGAAAACCGGTATTTTGACATGCATTCGGAAAACTTCGTAACACTCGGAAATCTTCGGATATTGCCTTGTTTCATTTTGTGCCAAATATTATTTACATTTTAATTTTGTCAGGATTAAATTTTTATTAAAACTTAATCAAACATGATGATTTTGTTTTGCTTTTGCTTATAAATCAAGCATTAACTCGAGTATAAGTAGTTTTATTTGTTGAAAAAACTTTTTGCAATATATTGCAATACATATCGCAATATATGCTTTCACATCGCAATATATCGCAATATGAAAATTCTCTGCAATACCCACCCCTATTAACTGGTATGTCTTTTGGAATATTTGTTTACAAAAACTCTGTAAATATCAACATATGTTTATCATGATTAGTACAGTGTACCTAATCGTGTGGGGTAGTAGTTATGACGTATTCCCGGGTTCGATTCCCTACATGGGCACAAGATGTGAAGCCCATCTGATGTCCCCTGTCGATGTATTGCACAAACATTGACGGGAGCGGCATAAACAGTACTCTTTTAGAAGGTGTAAAGGGGCCGTGTGTTAGCCTAGTGGTTAATGCGTTCGCTCGTCACGCTGAAAGCCCGGGTTCGTTTCCCCACATGGGTACAATGTGTGAGGTACATTTCTGGCGACCTCCGCCATGATACTGTTGGTGTTCACTGACTAGAAGGTGTAAAACATTTTGGATGCCATTTTGTCTTTTGGGAGAAAGTTTCATTGCATGTGTATGATGCAACCGGGATGACGATGTTGTTAAAACTCGATCGGTGGACTTGCATTCAATGAACACTACAAGATTTCCCCTCACCGCAGTGAAATAACACTACACGAGCGATCAGCTACAGCCCATGGAAGGGAGGTAACTCCTGGAAGACTCTGGTTTGTGGCTGCGCGTCTAGTCTACATCTACAAGAAGAACCACAATTTATCGATAGATGGACGACATGCGATATTTTTGGTCGTAGTTCTACGAAGAGTAGAGTTTTCCCATAATGTGTACAATGTCTGGTAAACTCCCAGTAAACATAGGTAAAGTCAGTCATTTCATGGTACATAAAGGACATGTTAAGATTCAAATTAGTTCCGTGTATCATGGGTTTAGTGTTTTTTCTTAGTCATAACCAAAGTTGGCCGTACAGTCTCCTCTATGCACTAACTCTAGGTGTATGAGAATATATATGTGCATTTACATGTATTTCGATAGAAAGAAAAACACTATTTGAATTGAAACGGAGCGTCGGTGAGCTCGGAAAATTAGACTTGGTTTATTTGGAGTTTTATTAATTGCCAAAAAAGGTTATGCGGATGGGAATGTGGTTGAAGTTAGTTGATCGACTAACTCTCGTACGGCAGTACAGACCGCCTCCGTGGTGTAGTGGTTAGAGCGTCCGCCCGGAGAGCGGAAGGTCGTGGGTTCGATCCCCGACCGCGTCATACCAAAAGACGTTAAAATATGGTACTTGTTGGTCCCTGCCTGGCGCTCTGCATTAATGGGTACAACAAGCACTGGTCGGCTCGGAGTCAGTATAATGTGTCTGAGTGGGGTATT